GAAATAAAAATTGATAGAAACACATGAAATTACAACTTACTGTTTATCTATGTTATTTTTTTGAATTAGTTTGCTGAATTTTTGAAATCGGAAAGAGAAATGGTGGTTCGTCCTCAGTTGATCGCCGCTGCTGTTGTTGCTCGCTTCTTCTCTTTGTGTAACTGCTGCTTGTGTTGATAGCGTAGGTATAAGTTATACCAGAAGGGTATTTTCGTCCAATCAGGTATAAATTTTTAAAAGGAGTGGCTAAAGTCTAAATACTTTAAAAACAGTGGCTTTAAAATAAAAGCCACAGCTTTTATTGGCTATTTGTGCCGTTCGCCCATACTTTGGTATCTGACATAGTAGCTTTACCCAACCCCAAATTAAACATTATAATTAACTCAAATAGCATCTAAATTTTCTAAAATATCGACGCACCACTAAAATAAAATATTAAATAAAAATTATTTCATGTTCCTTTAAGCAAGTAACTCGTAGTCAACCAAATATATCATCCAATTTTTTATAGAACTAGGTGCCAACGAATAATATTAAATTAATTTTTTTTTTTAAAAAAAAAAGCAAAGACCATGAGTTTTAGCGTATCCCATAAAGTACCTTATAAAATCGCCCCTGCAAATAGCAGCCCAACAAACTAAAAATAGCCACCATATGTCTTTATATATATAAATAATTAGGAATCAATAAAGCGCATCAAATTAAATATAAATACGCTCATTCAAACTTATAACAGCAGAACTTGAGAATTTTACAAAACCATCGATCGTGCGTCAAACAGCCAAAATTGTCCAACTATTTTGGAGTAAAAAAAAACCACAACAAAGAAATTTGTAGAGAAAAAAAACATCATTGGAATTCCACGAAGATTATCTCACTCCTTGTTATGTTTATGTTTCCCTATTCCTTTCCCCTTAACACAAGATTTAACAAAGCTTTTGAGACCCTTCTTATAAGGTGACTTGTTCTTCTCCTCTACAGCAACATTTTCCTCTTTTTTCTCCTCTGAAACAAGATTCTCTTCTCTTTTCTTCTTCATAATCTCCAACTCTGCTTCTAACTGCAAACACATATTCAACACCCTGTTTTCTACATTCACCAGCCTCTCGATGAGTGTCCCCTTGTGCTCTGTCTCTGTAATCACGTCGTCTATGGGCCGGCAATGCTTCTCCATGCTTCTTGGTGAGAAATCGAGGGACGAAGCTTGCCCGTCGCTCGTTAGTGTCTCGCTTGACGCTGTTGAAGTCTTCGGGGAATGGTCACCTCCTCTAACTTCCTCCAATTTCTTGAGCTGAATGCATATATAAATATATCATAAATCGAGGGATCATCTTTTTCTATTCAAATTGTAACCCCCCCTCCCTTCTTCCAAGTTTCGTATACTCGCGTATAAAAGTTCACACTTCTCGTTCATAGTTAAGCATTAATCGATATTATTAAAATAGGAGTAACTTATTATCTATATACTCTATTAAAATTCACTGATAAAAGTAAAATATTTACACTGTTGATGTGTATATAACTTATATATATTCAATCGTGAATTTAGAATAATTTATAAGGGCACGTTAACAAGTTGATGTTTGGTATGTCGAAAAGTTTTTTTCGTAGATAAAGATTTACTTACATGTTGTACTTAGAGGAATCATAGAGATTATCAAATTACATAACACACCAGTTTAAGTATATCGGAAGCCAACCAAATCTTAGTTTATCCCTCACGTTTTTGCCACGGTTTGGTACTTTTAAGTACTAAGTTATTCTTTATATTAATAATTTTAATTCAAAGACGTTCCACTCTTTTTTCTGAAATCAGCCTAGAAGAATTACGGAACACAGGTTATCTACCACCTTAGAGGCAGGAAATTAAATGAAAACAACGATTCATGGCCTTGCTACTTCTAATAACTTGCCTTAATTAGGCAAGCGTAGAAATACTGCAAAAATTAAATTGCATCCCCTTATAATCAATACCAAAAATGCCTAAAACCAAAAAATCTCAACAAGTAGTACAGCCTAGCCAGAAGCTGACACAGAAAATATATAGAAGTAAATGTAAGCTGTATACTCACAATATTGTCAAGTCTGTCTAGTCTAGAGAGTATTGGTTCTTCCACAGTTGCCATGTTCTTCTTCGTTTCTTTTAACTCCTGCTTTCTTTTTCCTTGTCTTCTTTGTGTTGTGTGTTAAGAACTCGCGGGAGCGAAAGGGGTTTTAGTATTTGTTTTAGGCGGCGAGAGCAAAGTGGGGGAGGGGATACGTGGGAGGATGCAAGAAGAGCAACTGGCACTTGACACGTTACAACTTCTAATATGTTTTAATGAGGGATATGATGATGTTTTGGTATCTATGTTGTGTTGACACGTTTGAGGTTGCATGCAGTAGATATGGATGAAACTCACGTTTTTGTGTCAGGTTATCCACTCGTGCCATTGGATTCCCAAGAGTACCCCCTGAAGGTTCTAAATCAACAACCATGCGCTCATTGGTTTGTTTACGTGAGCCAAATCAGCGTTATAGGACGAACATTGTTCTTATCACGTAACAAACCAGGCGGCCAAGAATAAATATTGTTTTTTTTCCTTGTTATATGCTTTATACTACTCACAAATAAGAATTTGCGACGGATAAATTTTATAGTTAAATAGAAAAATTTGTCGTTAGTTTTATTTAGTGAATAATTAGTAATATATTATTAAAAAATTCTGATAGCTAGAACAATTTAATGATATATTAGCAAAGAAGTTCGTAACTAAATTTATTTTTATTTTTTAGGATCATAGTACAAGAATCCGGACTAGTCGATAGTATACTTGGTCCGTTTTACGTCTTGACGGTCTTGTACACACATAGAGCTATTTTTTTTGTTGTCGTCGGTGAGAAATCATAGTACAAAGTTTTTCAATAAACTTTTCTTTCTAAACTCCTTTGAGCTAGGCAATTCGCAAGTTGATTTCTCTCTTAAGTATGTACTAAAACTAGGAAGTGAGTAAACTGATGATGACTTCTTTTACGAAATAAACAGATGTAAATCTCGACTTCGCATTGACGCTTTTAGACCTAAACCATGGTATATATAACACATATATGTAAATAAGAACATCCCCAGTTGGCCTTTCAGTGCTTGTCCATGACGAATTGGTTTTAAGCAACGTCAAAATTGAACTGTTACGTTGTGGAAGTGTTAGCTGCAGCAAACTACTTTCTTTTACAATTGGGTACATGAATAATCGCCGAGATGAACAAATCAAGGAATGACATGTGTCAATTTTTTTTTTTATGAAACATAATTTCAAGGAAAAAAGAAAAACAGCAAAACCCTTCCCTTAGCTTCCTCCTCTCTCTTAGCCTTCAAGGAGTAAACCGGTAATTATCACTTGCTTACCTCAAGCATACATGTAACAACAGCTACTTCTTTCTTTGTCAGTTTCTATTTGTTCTGGTTTGCATTTAAATCTAGTCTATATATAGGACAATGGAACTGTAGAACAAGATCGACTTAACAAAAGTATGTATGCTTCATATCATTTGTATATTCTTTCAACAGAGTTTGTGTAAGCAGGTTTTACCAATGCACTATGCAAATCAATATTTAAAGCAATGTAAAGACTGCTGATAACATATTTTGTAATACATACTAACACTATTAAGTATACATAGAGGCTAAAAAGGGAAGTATTTGAGAAAGGCTAGGTGTACATAACATCCCTATTAGAACAATAAAAGTTCAGGTCATACATGGATGATGTATAGATCAAAGCATGATATATTTCTCAACAGGACGCACTGCACATCCTCCATTCCTCTCCGCCCACTCGCAACAACCTTCTATCGAGAATATGGTTACACATCCGGAGCTGAATTAGTACTTTAAACCAATGACAACCACCGATCGACAACAGTTTTGCCTATCAAGACTAAAGGATTAAGGAAGGGCAAAACCACCAAAGAGAGCTACTCCCATTAATCAATCCAAACTTCCAGCAATCTCATCATCTTCAGATAGCCATATAACAGTTTGAGCGAGGCGTTCACGCATCAGTTCCACGTTCTGATCAGATATTCTATTGTATAATTCAGCATGATCACATTTCTACATCCAACCGAGAATATTCATTAGCTTTTCTCTACATCATTGCAGTTGAAAATGTACCGGGTTTCACTTTTTAGACATAGTAAATCTCCACTTGTCCACGACACAACATAGACAAATGATAGATAGAAAATAGGGATTAGTACTCCTTTTGCCATGACTTAAACCATTAGCTTGTCATAAAGAACTAACTCCAACTAAGCGGTGCATGGTGATTGTCAATAGAGTGCTTTTGAACAAAGATATAATAATTCATGAATGCCGTACTTCTGAAGGAGCGAAAACATTTAAATCGAGCAGTAGCTAAAATGAAGGTGGCATACCTGCATCCATATGCTGTAAAGGTTAAGACGCGTTATCATCACCCTCTCAGCAAGTTCCCGCTTTTCCTGCAAAACTTTTAGAAACTATCAGACACATAGAACAATAAAGACAAAAGGCAAAACTCAGCTAATATGAGACTAGTTATCCTTAATCCTAAAGGGACATTATTATGGTGCTATTTCCTCGAAACATATTTTTATTGGATGCGGAAGACATGTGGGGAAATCCTTGCCACATATCACCTTTGCCAATTTCCATATAGAAAGAAGATTTATCACTATCTACTGTTACCTTGAAAAGTTGTTGAAGGAAATCTTTCCCGGTGTTAGGCACGTGGTTTACTATAAAACTGTTAAAAAAAAAAGGGCAGAGAAATTAGTGAAACAACTAGTGAACAAAACTATCAAAAGACTCATATCTCTCAATGTCGTTGAACAAACAAGATTCTTCGACAAAGACTTAAAATGTTTTCAAGAAAGAGCAGTTTTGCTACCTTTTATAAGGTGATACACACTAGACCCTGTGCTTCCCGTTTGGAGCTTTGTTTTTCTTTTCTTTTAACAGTGGTGTCTAGGCTTGTGTGCACCTTGACTAATCCCACCAGCAGGTATATATTGGGTAACTCAACTTTGTCCATCAAGGCTTGGACAAACGAAAATAATTTACCTAGTATCGCCTCTACTGTGATTTGAATCAAGCTTCCCAAGGTTGTTACTCCACTTCTTCGACCACTAAGTCACCCCCTTTGGTGGCTCCAAATCAGAGCATACTAAGTTTTACATTGGCAAAAGTGGTAGTATAATCCAAGTTAAAAAGGTATTCTCAAGGGAATGACTGATTTAAAATACGAGTTTTCAGGAGAATTTAGTGTTAGTTTCAAGTGGAAAAGCAAACTCGGACAAGATTTTCAAATTTCCATTGAAATCAAGATCAATAGATATCTTGGCAAAGGAAGAAAGAGAAGAGAAGAAAACAGTTTCAAGACAACCGAAGAATGTTAAATGAAAAATAAAATGCAAAGGGGAAAAATAGAAAAGCTCAGAGATAAAATGCTCCTAGAATTATAAATAAATAAATAGAAAAGCAAAGGAAAACGAGAGAAGCATACAACTGCCTCAGCTGCAGTCCTGGCCTTTGCATCTATTTCTCCTCGTATAATTTAGATTAAATAGGATTAAATTGTCAGTTTTTATAACATCAACAGCCTAAGTGCTAACTTGAATCATTGAGCTAAAACCAGAGGATCATCTTATCTGGATAGTGGATACCTTTAAGAGGAAAAGAGATCTAAACTTACTTGTAAAACCATGTGTACTGTGGCGGGTTCATTTCATAGAGTTGTTGAAGAACAGTCCGTACAGCTTTGTAAGTGATAACATTGATTATTTCCTGCAAACGCCAATCACTTAAGGAGTTGAATATGAATCAAAAGAAAACGAAACTACAAAAAAATTTGGACACAGTTCACCTTGATGTCTTATAGTTACAGCAAAATGAGGACAAAACAGTTTCAACAGTTTTTATTTAATGGATAACCAAAAATTCAAGTGATAGATTCAACAAAGAGAGCACCGTAGTAATTAGTCAATGTTCAGGATAACTACTGACATAATTCCAGTTGATATCTTTTACTTTAAAGAAGATTAACTTTTTCCCAATTATAGCTAACTACACCTGTAGAGGAATCGATTGGCTCTGCAACAAAAGGAGTAGTGAAAACCATTTGAAAAAAAGGCCAGAAGACAATTTAAGCAATGAAGTTATCTTATTGAGCTTCCATCAGTCTGGCCATACAAAAGATTGAGCTACCTTATCCCCTAATCATTTAAAACATTCTTCAAACTGATGTTATAAAGTATAAATTGGCAATTTTTTTCGCAAAAGCCCAATGAGAGCAATCTAAAATCAAATGTAAAAACCTTCAATTTACACAACACAACCATAAATTTCTCGAAGGGAAGCTTGGAGCAATGATAAAGTTTATCTCAATGTGACCTATAGGTCACGGGTTCGAGCCGTGGAATAAGTCATTGATGCTTGCATCAGGCTAGGTTGTCTACATCACACCTCTTGGGGTGCAGCCCTTCCCCGACCCTGTGTGAACGCGGGATGCTCGTGCACCGGGCTGCCCCTTAACAATAAATTTCCCGTTTGACCATACCCCTTACTTCACTTATATCTACATTCTATCTGTTCACATTTATTCCTAGGATGTATAAGCAACCAGAAAACCAGGAAATTTTCAACATTTAGACAAGATTGTTCTTTATACAATCTATTAATATCAGTGACAAGAGAAGCTATTTTTCATCAATATAGACATTGTCATGTTTTGAGCAGTAGTAATAGTAGTAGTAATAAACGTGAATAAAAGTAAACAATTTACAACAAAGCTCTCACATTTTTAACATCTTCGCCTGAATCATCATCCTCCACTTCCAACCCACCAACAACGGTGAATTTCCCAAGCTTCTGTCTCTTTCTTGAAACCCTATTTACAGCCAAAGATATCATCTTTGCAGATAATTTCCAATCACACCATGCTTCCAAAAAACTGCTGCTTAAATTCAACTGTTTCCTCCTCTTTAAGCTTCTCCACAAACCCAATGATAATTCCCCATTAGTCTTGAAATTAAAGCTGCCTGAGTTAAGAATAGGATTCAAGCATAAACATGGAGAAGAGTGAGTTTCAGGCAATGACCTTCCAGTCCCATATATAGTTCCCACCATTGTGTTCTTTTGGTCTTTGTTTTGGGGGTTGAAAATATGGGAAATCGATGGGGTGGAGAGCAGTGGGCAGTGGCGGAGCTGGCTGAATCTTCTGATGTAGATTCTTGAAAGCGTATTTTGGGATTTTTATGTAGTTTTTTCTGAGGTCCAAAATTGTTTGACTGGAGATTTTTTACAATCAAGAAACAATGTACCAGGTGGTCGAGCTTATTACTCTCTCTTTTATGTCAATCGTTTAGAAAAACACGGGCCAACCTTTGCTATGAATTGGACTTCTTGCCCAAAAAGGTAACTTTGTTTACTTATTTTTGGAAGGAGGAGTTTTTCAGAATTATTCGAGACATAAGCAAATCTTAGTTGACAATTGCTTTCCATTTTAAAATGATCATCCTAAACATTGACCATCAGGTATATTTTAAGTGATGGATGAATTTACTTATTAAAAAAAAAAAAAATCCCTGTGGATAAAGCATCTAATGTTGACACAACGTTCAAAGAAAATCTAATTCCAGATTAAATTTGTGACCTATAAATAACATAAAAATTACTTTATCGTTGCTCCAATATTTCCATGAATTTGATTATGTAATGAAAAAATCAATTAGAGTACCAACATCGTGGCGTGGAAAGTTCATTTTTTGACATTTCTTAACCGTTCTGTATAGTGAAGTGCAAGTTTTCAAAGGGTGAACATTTTAATTTGCTGCAAAGACAATCTAAATATTAAACGACCACATACTCATTCTAGATTAACCCAGAGTTAGGTAGAATATATGTTTAGCGATCACATTTTCTTCTGATCTTTGCTAATTTTGCTCACATGAAGGGAACTAAGAATGTATAAATCGTGCCTTGCTTAATTTATTGGAAAGTAGTCTTAACGATATAACCTCACCAAAGTTTACAACTTATATATATGTTAATTTAGAGTTTGGTAGGAATATATGTTACATATCATACTCCGCCCCGACCAACGATAACATTGTATGCCTCGAGGTAAATGATCACATATATCCAAATCAAGAACGGTTTGATTTGTTGGAAGCTAGACTTTATAACTATACTTTCACAAAACCAATTGAAGAAATTCATCCTAACTTCTACTGTAAATCACATGCAAATGAGAGAAGAAGTTGATGGAGAGAAGAAGCTGAACGAGAGGAAGAAGAAGAAAAGAAAATGTTACTATTCTATTGATCTGTTACAGTAGGGGGTCGTTTATATTGTTGATTAGTGATTGACAGTTGTCCCACTAACCACTTAACCAACTCTCATTATACAATACACATATACACTTCTATATCTATATACAATTATGTATTCAATACTTCCCTCAAGCTGGAGGGTGAAAAGGATCAAACATTCCAAGCTTGGATAAAAGGAATTGGTATTGTGCAGAACCAAGGCCTTTTGTCATCAAATCAACTAGCTGTAAATTTGTAGGGATGTATAGAGGACCAATTAACCCTGCCTTGATCTTTTCACGAACAAAATGACAATCAATCTTGATGTGTTTGGTTCGCTCGTGGAATATTGGATTGACAGCTATTTGCAAAGCTGCCTTGCTATTACAATATAAGTTGACTGGAACATCTACATCAACTTGTAACTCCTTGAGTAATCCTAGAACCCAGGTGATTTCTGCAGCTGCTGCTGCAAGACTACGATATTCTGCCTCTGTTGAACTCCTGCTAACTGTAGGTTGTTTCTTTAACTTTCATGAGAGCAATGAATCCCCAAGTTTGACAATATAACTAGTTATTGATCTCCTGGTATTTGGACACCTTGCCCAGTCTGAGTCACAATATACGGAAAGATGTCTTATGGGAGAACTATGTAGAAGAATACCAAGCCAGGAGTACCTTTAACATATCTAACCACTCGCAGAGCTGCATCCCAATGGGACTGTTTGGGATGCTGCATGAATTGACTCAGTACTTGGACTGCAAAATACAAATCTGGCCTGGTAACTGTTAGGTAGAGAAGCTTTCTAATGAGTCTTTGGTAGCTACCTGCATCCTGCAACTCTGCATCACGAGTGTGTCCAACATGTGTGTCATAATCAATGGTTGTTAACTTTTGATCGAACTCAATAGGTGTGTTGATGGGTTTGGCAACTGCCAATCCAACATCTGATATTAACTGCAATGCATATTTCCTTTGAGTAAGAAGCACCCCTTTGTTAGATCTTAGGACTTCAATCCCAAGGAAATACCTAAGCTCTTCTAGATCTTTTACCTTGAATGAACTATGTAGTGTTTGTTTAGCTGCCTCTACAAGAACAGAATTGCTTCCAGTGATGAGTAAGTTATCTACATAGACTAGAATAATGACAATATCTGGACCTACTCTTTTGGTGAACAATGAATGATCATAGGGACTTTGTGTGTAATCACCTGCTAGAAGTGCCTCAGTCAGTTTAATATTCCACTGCCTCGATGCTTGCTTCAACCCATACAAAGATTTTAGCAGCATGCACACCTTATGCTCCCCCTGCTTGTGGAACCCTTGAGGCAAGCACATGTAGACCTCTTCATAAAGATCACCCTATAGAAAGGCATTATTAACATCCATTTGGAATAGGTTCCAACCCTTTGAAGCTGCCATACTAATGATGATCCTGACAGTGACCATTTTTGCAACAGGAGAAAAGGTCTCATGATAATCCAATCCTTCTTGTTGTGTGTATCCCTTTGCTACCAACCTTGCTTTGAACCTTTCCACCTCCCCATTTGCTTTATATTTTATTTTGAACACCCATTTTGAGCCTATAACTTTCTTCCATGGAGGAAGATCTACCACCTCCCAGGTTGCATTATCTTTAGGTGCTTTAATTTCTGCTTCCATTGCTTCCACCCAAGCCTTATCAAGACAAGCTTCCTTAAATGATCTAGGTTCAGTAGGTTCTGAGAAGGATCCTAGAAAGGATTTGTAATTCTCAGAAAGAAGATCATAGGTGATGAAATTTGATATAAGGTAAGGTGTATCTTTGGTTGATTTGACTGCAGTCACATAATCTTTAAGCCAAATAGAAGGTTTGGAAGGTCTACTAGACTTTTTAGTAGACACTGTAGGCAAAGGATGGTCTTGATGTATTGGCTCTTCAGCCAGTGTTTCTTCTGAGAAAACTGTTGATTCTGCTGGTAATGAAGAAGGTTCTACTGCATCTGGTGCCTGCAAGACTGGTGATGAAGAAGGTTCCACTGGTGAGGCTGGTGTAACTTGCTCAGGAGTTTCTGCAGGAGCATGAGCTTCTGTAGGGTTAGCAGTATCAGTATTGTTGCTATGGTCAACAGATGAAGTTGTCTCTTCAAAATTAGCACCCACTGGCTCACAAGGGAACAAGTCTTCATTTGCATCTGTGACTTCCTTAAAAGGAAAAGATGTTCTCTGAATGTGAAATCTCTACTCACTATCACTTTTCTGGAGTCAAGGTCATACAACCTGTACCCCTTTTGAGTCTTTGAGTATCCTACAAGAATACATTTCCTTGCCCTGGCTGTAAATTTATCCCCTACAGGTAGGTTGCTTGCAAAACATAAACAACCAAAAACTCTTAAGTGATCCAGCTTGGCAGGTTTGTTGTGCAACATCTCATAAGAACATTTCTTCTCTAAGACCTCAGTGGGAAACTTGTTAATCAAATACACGGCAGTTGTAATGCAGTCACCTCAGAATCTAATAGGTATTGCACTCTGAAACTTCAGGGCCCTTGCAACTTGCAGAATGTGTCTGTGTTTTCTTTCCACAGTTCTATTTTGCTGTGGAGTGTAAGGACAACTACTCTGGTTTATGATTCCAAGAGAAGCCAATAGTTCATCACATTGAGAGTTAAAAAATTCAGTACCATTGTCTATCCTGAGCACCTTGATTCCAATATCAAATTGATTTCTTATCATTGCAACAAAGTTTCTTATTACAAGAGCTACTTCACATTTGGACTGAATCAAGCATACCCAAGTGTACCTACTGTAGTCATCCATAATGGTGACAAAGTAATGCTTTACGTCATATGTAGTAACCTTGTGAGGCCCCCAAACATCTAGATGGATTAATTGGAAACAACTAGTAGATTTACTATTGCTAATAGGAAACTTCAACCTACATTGTTTAGCCAATGGACAAACTACACAATCTTGTTGAGTCTGAGAATCAACTTTATTCCTAAGAGCTAGTATGTTTTCCATTGTCTTTATTGAAGCATGCCCTAGTCTCAGGTGCCAAAGTTCACTGCTGACTCCTTGCTGCACAAAAAATCCTGCAGCTGCTAGTGTTATGTTCTCCTTTAGCAGATATAACCGATTGTGCTCTTTACCAATCCACATCACCCTGCCACTGTAAAGATCCTGAAATATACAAAAATCAGGGAAAAAATGACACAACACCACAATTCTTTGGTGAGCTTAGACACTGACAGCAGATTGAATTTGAAATCTAGCACATACAATACATTCTTCACTGTCTTATTTTCCAATATGGTCGTATTTCCTGTGTGAGTGATGTTAGATTTGTTTCCTGTAGGTACCTGTATTCCTTGTATTCCTTGGCTATCAGCATTTTTAATGTCCCTTAGAACATCCTTACAGTAAGTAACATGATGGGTTGCTCCTGAATCTATTACCCAATCACACTTATCTGCACTAGACAGTAGAGAAATTATACCTGTCATGTTTGCAGAACACTCCCCTGCATTAGATTTTGACAACAGATTTACCAACTGATTGTACTGCTCCTCTGTGAAAAATTGTCCTGGTGCTTGCATTTTTGGCAATGTTTTATCTTCCTTAACAGCAATTGCATTTGCACTTGCATTATTGGCATATGCTTTCCCTCTAGTTGCAGTTGTCTGATTCTTCCTTTTGCTTTTGAAATCAGGTCGATATCCAATTACCTTAAAACAATTCTCTTTTTGATGTCCTTTATATCCACAATAATCACATATTAAACCAGGCTTCCTAGGCCTAAAGTCTTGACCTTTCCCTGCTAGCATTGTGAGTGGATCTCTGTGGGTATCTGTGACACCTAAGGTTCTCTGACTCTCCTCTTGACTAACTATGGCGTAAGCCTCATTAACAGTCACAACTGGCCTTTTTGCCAACACATTACTGCGTATATTGCTATAACTTTCATTTAGTCCCATAAGAAATTGCAATAGCCTTATGTTTCTCAGATAATCAACAGAAGGTCTAGATTCCTCACAATCACAAGAAGAAATAGGAGCTAATACATTAAGTTCATC